AACAACCTCAGCAGTTCTTTCAGGTAAACAAACACAAATTTGATTCCTTGTGATTCAGATTTAGAGTTCTTTTTAGTCATCATCTGAATCATATAGTCTTGAATCATGTTGTCTGATTCATATGAAGGACTCGGACACCTTATTGTGCCTTAAAAACATTCTGGAACCAAATATCTTTTTCTCTCTTGAAGATGCAGCCTCAGGGTCTGATTCACAGTGCTCCCACTCAGGCCTTATTCCACACCCATAGCATTCCGCAGCAAAGTACTGTGGGATACGTACAGCCACAACAGCAGCAACAACAACAGCAGCATCATCACTCACAGTCCGGGAACCTGTCGGACTACAGAAACATTCTCCCACGGTAGCCCCGCCACCTGGAAAAGCCAAGAGGTTGCCGGGAAAGCACGTTGAGCGTTTAGCTCAGAAAGGCATGATGGGAAGGGACTCTCTCGGCTCAGGGGAAGGCTCACGAGCGAGCCAAACCAAAATCGAGAAAGCCAAAGTCCCTCAAAGCTCCCATGACAGCAAATGATGGTGATAACACCGCAAGGCCCAAGGACTCTGCCTGGCCTGGACTGTACTGGATGCTGGGATACGTAGGAAGAGCCCGCAGGGGCGTGATCCATCTGTTATTCATGGAGACAGAGGTCACAGAGCAGTCAAGCAGGCACTTTGATCGATACGTAAAGGACAGAAAGCCGTGGAGGGTTTTTGGTACTGTAATGTTACAGTTATCTGGACTTTTTAACACAAACATACACAAATAAGACAAAATCAATGAATGCCAAAGTAATGCCTTGACAGAGCTTAAACTCTGCTGCGTGTGTTCTGCCCTCAAACGCATACTAAAATACTAACTAAAAGAGAAATCGCCCCAACAAGAAGAAGAAAAATACACGGTCATGAACTGTTTTTCATGCATAATATTTCATATGTGTGTGAGCTGATGGGAGGAGCTGGGCATAATTCAGCAAAGACCCAAATATATTTTAAAAAATAAATAAATTGGGTTTCTGTTATCATGTGCAGGTTCTCCCCCACGTAAAGAAACTTGAATCACAATGTATATTTCAAATATTTAAGAACACTTTAAAAGTTCGCACTAGGGCAAACTTTCCTACTGCTGAGTTCAACTCAATCCATGTTACTCTTTGTTTCTCGATCCACTGTACTGTACATATAGTTTCTGCACATATTGGGTTCCGGATCATCATATTTCAGTACTTTTATTTTATATTTAGGTCGGCATCTAAACATAGCTGCTCATGAGAAGCACGTTGGCTTCCCTGATCGAACAGTTCTGTGAGTTTTTAGCCGTGCTTGTGGTCCGCATGTCCACACAGTAAATCTACATTGATTTGATGTCAATATGAGCACAACAGATGTGCTTTAATATTTAGTTTCAGTATTACACAGGGATGAAGCTCTGTCTAATTTATGCTTCGTAGAAGAGGGACTTTGTGATTGTTTTTTGGTGGTGGGCGCAAGTGCCGCAGCAGTTAAACTGCAAAAATTAAGATATAAAATAATGACAATAATGACAGGTTGAATGATTGAAGACAATCATAATGCCAGGGCTGCAGAAATGGAAATGTTCTCATCTGCCTGTAACTTGGGCAAAGTGTTTCACAAATACAACGCAAATATTAGTAAACAAAACACTTTTTATTTACTTTTTATTTTTCCCATGACATTTTTTTTTATTATTTTTGGGGAGTTGATGTAGACACGCAAGTTGTGAACACTTAAAGACACACAAATAGGAAAAAAATTTGGAAAAAATCTGACTATTGGAAAAATCATTTCATTTTTTTTTTCTAGCTGGGACTTCAAGCTGCACTTTCCGCTGTCCTGTCACGCATTGCACATTTAAAGACTGGTGCTGATTATTTTATTTTTTTTAAACTAAGAAAATTCTGTTGAAGACAGTCTAAAATCATGTGCCCTTCTGCATGTTGTGCAATGCAAATCGGAAAACAAGAATGTGTCATTTATACTTATCGAAGAGATTTCTTTTTTTAGTCAGGTATGTTTTCTTGTATTAGCAAGAAAGCACTTAGTTATTCGTAAAAGCCAATGTGTTGTTTGATTGAAAACAGAAAGTATTTTTGTATAAAAAGATCCTCGACATTCCTTCAGTCATGTATAGAAAGTGTGAAACTCCCGAATCTTTAGATCAAATCCGATGTTTTAGATCAAACTACACTCAAAAGAAGCACTCCAGAGATTATTTTTACATAATATCAAATGTTCCATTCCCAAGAGCTCATTTACGTCCCCAGGTGTCCCCAAGCCTGCCCATCTGAACCATTTCTAAATGTTTTCAAAGGTTTGTGAATCACATAACTGATTAATCTCAGCATTTTGTTCTGCCTCCCGCTAGAGAAGACGAGGAAGATGTTTGGTGTATTTGTCTTTCAGATACTGTGTTTCAGAGTATGACATACCAGGTTGTTCTGCATCAGTGCCTCCCGTTTATCACCTTCTGCTGCTCTGAGATTATCTTTGGGTCTCACAAATGCTCTTTATGTCTCTAGACATAAGAGAAACTACACTTTGAGTCAGATATAACTCTAAATCTTAGGTTAGTCTACCTTAGAATTTATCTCAAAATGGTAGATGTGTTTTAGAATACAGTATCTGATCTAAGCTGGTTACTAGGTGGTCATTAACTGGTCCAAGCTGATAGAACCATCTAAGACCAGCAACAAACCAGTTACCAGCTTATGGCACTCAAGCTAGTTTTTGGAGGAGCTATAAAATGACTTCCATGTTCCAAAAGCAGTTTAATCTGGATTTTCCTGTAGGGTAGTAAACATTTGCAAACATTAATTTCAAAATGAGTAGGACAAATAAATCCAAAGGTTGCGACTTAAGCCAGTTGCCATTGTGATTGCCGTTTTAGAGTGTGCATAGTCCTTTGAATAAAAATTAGCTGCTTCGCCCTTCATTTAATGCCCATTTGTGGTGTTTTCATGAAATATTTTAGTCTCAAATGTTTCTTGAGTTAAAGGTTTGATTGTTTTGCAGACATGCAGATGTTTTTTCTTTGTATTCATTGATTGGGTTGTGAATGGTAGATGAAAACTGTACTGACTCTCTCATCATCTTTCTCTCTTCATCCTGTAAAACTATGCTCTGGTTGTGGAGACTGCACTTTATTCTTTTCCCCTTCTTTATGACTTTTGCTTTGTGTTATCTCTCTCTCTCGCTCTCACTCTCTCTGGCCTGAATTTCTCCCCATAAGTGTCTGTTCTGATGAGGTTTTAGGCCTCATGGATTTGTGAGTGTGTGTGTTTTGTGAGTGTATGTATTATATGTGTTACCTGAACAGGTGACATCGTCAATGCATTTATATTCTACCAGGTGAGGGGAAGAGACGGAAAATGACACCTGGTATAAACAGCCATCTCTGCTGATACTCTGCAGAAAATACATGGAAGATATTGTAATATAAGATATACAAAAATGTTTAGAAAAATATAGTTGTTTATTTTATAAGATGTCAAATAGATTGAAGATACATTTCTATACAAGTGTATGATTTGAGAGTAAAAACAGGTATTTTGTAACAGATTAATGATTGAAGTGTCTTACTTTGGGGGGACGTAAAGCTTTCTGTTTGTCAGTTCAGCGAGTTGATGTTGCACAGTTAATTATGTATGGCTTGTTTTTCCCTCTTATTTTTCTGTGTATATATACCATCACAACAAGCTTTAACATATTGTTAATATTGTTTTAAAAGAAATTAATAATAAAAAAGTTTACATTCTGAAACAATTTGGATGTTATACTGACTCTTAATTACTTTTTAATCCACAATATTTTAAACAAAATTTGTATTAAATACAATTAGTTATATAAAATATATTGTCTATATAGATGTTATAAAAAATTAAACTTAGATATATTTTACATCTCAAATCTGACCCATTTCTGAAGAACCAGCCATGGCCTCTCACCTTTTGTCTTTCAGCATGTTGTAATATATGTAGATCAAATTTGACCAGAAAAAAAACCATTATATAATAAAATGCCAAAAGATTTAAATTGGATGAGGAAAAGACACATTTGGCTTCAAATTGTTTCCCAAAATTTCTTCTAAATTTGTGTTACTCCGACGATATAGAACTTCAAGATATTTTTCTAGCGTAATACACGTTGGGACCATAAAAACACATTTTCATTAAGGCCCGCTGTTTTCAATGTGCGTCAAATATGCCCAATAATCCCCAAAGGTGGGTGCATAGGGTATATGTCGAACATCACCTGACTAAACCCGGAAAACAGGTCTCATTGCTTCCGCTTGTCGGAGAACGTGTTAACAGCCGTATTAAATAATAGCGATATCTATGGACTTTTAAGATAGTCAGTTAAACTAGCTAGCTGTTTTTATTGTTGACGTTTTATTCAATTTGTATATCTAAATGTGAAAAGAATACAAATAAAAAATCTTTTAGATATCAGTCCGCATATGTGATGGACATTGGTTATGATCATCATTGGTATCTACTTTGAAGGCATCTTGAGTAAAACTGCTTCATATTTAACTAAGCATATGCAAAACGCTTGAACCGGAAGCGACGAGACCCGGTTAACAGAATACGGAAGTCTGTTGCGCATAACCCCTATAGAATTTAGGTGTCGCTGTTGATTCCTCCGGGCCTGTAGGTGGTGGTGTGGCTTGTTTTTGATGTTTTGTTGCTCGAGAAGAAGAAACACGAACTCGGCGCGCGCTTGGAGTTTGTTTACATTCCGTGAGGCTCGAGTTGACTTCATGAGCAATAAAATCGTATAAACGTATATGATTTCAAAATGTAAATGAGTAATACCGTGTATATTCCATATAAGCAAGCTAAATGACTAATCTCAGCAAGTCTATCTCCTATAAACAGTCTCTCATAAACCTAAACGTCATTATTTCGGATCTGGTTCGTGTCATGTAGAGTTTCCGGGTTTTAGTCCGGATCTGGACGTTCAAATCTCTGGTTTCAGTGATGGCAGGTCCAGCGGATCACAGTGACAGCGGGTCCGGTTCTGCTCTTCAGGCGGTGTTTGAGCAGCTGCGGTCCGCGCACACTCTATCCCTGACCCTCACCAGCCCGCTGTGCCTGGCTGTTATCGCTCTGGACCGGTACTTGAGCGTACAGCATCCAGCCGCTGAGAGCTACAGCTACGACCTGACGGTCACGGACGGCCGATGGCGGATAAAGTGTCAGCTGGCGGACAGTCTGAGCCAGTGGGTCCGGACAGGCTCGCTGCGCTGCGGTGCCGGGGTCCTGGTGTCCCAGCTGTCAATAGTCCACGATGAGACGAGGCTGAGTCACAGTTACGTTAGGATAGACAGCATCCACAGCGTCCCGGAGAGTTTTCTGTCCATTAAAGACGTGGGGAGTATCCCGGAGTGGTGTCAGGACCATGTGACCCGGTCCGATGGACCTCTGCAGCTGAGCAGAAAGTATTATTTACCACTGTGGATAAATGACGATCCTTATGGAAGCGTGTGGATTTCTTATAGCCCACCGCCAGACGTGGTCATTGATGGTATGAGATCATGTTCTTTTCAGAAGTTTAAAAACTGTTTAATTCCACAGTGCAGCGCCCAAAACCGAATAAATTGTAATTCTTTACCCATCTTTGCCACTATCCTTCAAACCATTAGGCTTTGCCCATTTGTCAGCAAGAATTTTTTTATTTAATACAATTTAGTATGATCACTAAAGCTGCACATAATGTGTTGTGTAATAGGAGTGTTATCTTCTTTTATATATTGTTAATGTTGTTGTATTTCTGTGTATCAGTGTCTAGAATCACTCTTCTCGCTGATCTGGAAGCGTTCTTTCACAGCTCCAGGCGGCCTCTCCCACTGCTGGTCCGAATTCTGCACAGGTCCAGGATACGGTACTATGGAAAACCAGGACAAAATATTGACTTCCCATTTCAGGTGAGTCAATGAGAAAGGATAATTTTGTCTGCAGCTATTCATTATTTCAGTGCATGATTATTTCAGGGCTATGATCTCTTTTTTCTCTCTTTCACTCTTTCAGGTGTACTGTGAGGTTGCTGATCAGAGTGGCATCATGTCCATGGTTGTATGGAATGATCTTTGTCCTGAATGGTTCAACAGACTGACAGTTGGCTCGGTTCTATATCTGCAGCAGTACTCGCTGAAACACAGTTATCAGAACCGGTCTAGACCACATATCCGCACGCTCTCTCTTACGACTTTCAACTCCATTGGTATGGATTCCAGAGCTTTTCCAATGCTAGCTTTCATATGCTGCAATTTCAGCTAGGTTTGTTTTATACAGGTTCAATATTGGACCATTTCCCAAAAATGTTGAACTATTTCAGCTCTTTGTTTATGGTTGTTCTGTGGGTTATAGAGATCAGCCTGAATCCTCGAAGTCCTGCATCTGTAGTGACAGTGATTCCACCAAAAAGTGTTCAGCCTCAGTGGAGTCTGCCTGATGTCCCATACAGCTTTGCCACAAGGTACACAGATTTATTTAAAATTTCAGGGCATTCTGCTCTCACATTTTGAGTTATTACACTCAGGTGGCATTATGGCTAAACCCAAGATGTCTCGCAAGAATGTACACTACTGTTCAAAAGTTTGGGGTCAGTAATTTTTTTGTGTGTGGAAAAAAAATAAATAAAAAATAAACTTTTTTTCAGCAAGCATACATTAAATTGTTCAAAAATGATCATAAAGACTGGATAATATTACAAAAGATTTCTATTTAAAAAAAATGCTGTTATTTTGTACTTTCTATTTATCAAAGAATCCTGAAAAAAATATTACAGTTTCCACTAAAATATTAGGCAGAGCAAATCAGCATATTAGAATGATTTCTGAAAGATCATAAACGTATATGATTTCAAAATGTAAATGAGTAATACCGTGTATATTCCATATAAGCAAGCTAAATGACTAATCTCAGCAAGTCTATCTCCTATAAACAGTCTCTCATAAACCTAAACGTCATTATTTCGGATCTGGTTCGTGTCATGTAGAGTTTCCGGGTTTTAGTCCGGATCTGGACGTTCAAATCTCTGGTTTCAGTGATGGCAGGTCCAGCGGATCACAGTGACAGCGGGTCCGGTTCTGCTCTTCAGGCGGTGTTTGAGCAGCTGCGGTCCGCGCACACTCTATCCCTGACCCTCACCAGCCCGCTGTGCCTGGCTGTTATCGCTCTGGACCGGTACTTGAGCGTACAGCATCCAGCCGCTGAGAGCTACAGCTACGACCTGACGGTCACGGACGGCCGATGGCGGATAAAGTGTCAGCTGGCGGACAGTCTGAGCCAGTGGGTCCGGACAGGCTCGCTGCGCTGCGGTGCCGGGGTCCTGGTGTCCCAGCTGTCAATAGTCCACGATGAGACGAGGCTGAGTCACAGTTACGTTAGGATAGACAGCATCCACAGCGTCCCGGAGAGTTTTCTGTCCATTAAAGACGTGGGGAGTATCCCGGAGTGGTGTCAGGACCATGTGACCCGGTCCGATGGACCTCTGCAGCTGAGCAGAAAGTATTATTTACCACTGTGGATAAATGACGATCCTTATGGAAGCGTGTGGATTTCTTATAGCCCACCGCCAGACGTGGTCATTGATGGTATGAGATCATGTTCTTTTCAGAAGTTTAAAAACTGTTTAATTCCACAGTGCAGCGCCCAAAACCGAATAAATTGTAATTCTTTACCCATCTTTGCCACTATCCTTCAAACCATTAGGCTTTGCCCATTTGTCAGCAAGAATTTTTTTATTTAATACAATTTAGTATGATCACTAAAGCTGCACATAATGTGTTGTGTAATAGGAGTGTTATCTTCTTTTATATATTGTTAATGTTGTTGTATTTCTGTGTATCAGTGTCTAGAATCACTCTTCTCGCTGATCTGGAAGCGTTCTTTCACAGCTCCAGGCGGCCTCTCCCACTGCTGGTCCGAATTCTGCACAGGTCCAGGATACGGTACTATGGAAAACCAGGACAAAATATTGACTTCCCATTTCAGGTGAGTCAATGAGAAAGGATAATTTTGTCTGCAGCTATTCATTATTTCAGTGCATGATTATTTCAGGGCTATGATCTCTTTTTTCTCTCTTTCACTCTTTCAGGTGTACTGTGAGGTTGCTGATCAGAGTGGCATCATGTCCATGGTTGTATGGAATGATCTTTGTCCTGAATGGTTCAACAGACTGACAGTTGGCTCGGTTCTATATCTGCAGCAGTACTCGCTGAAACACAGTTATCAGAACCGGTCTAGACCACATATCCGCACGCTCTCTCTTACGACTTTCAACTCCATTGGTATGGATTCCAGAGCTTTTCCAATGCTAGCTTTCATATGCTGCAATTTCAGCTAGGTTTGTTTTATACAGGTTCAATATTGGACCATTTCCCAAAAATGTTGAACTATTTCAGCTCTTTGTTTATGGTTGTTCTGTGGGTTATAGAGATCAGCCTGAATCCTCGAAGTCCTGCATCTGTAGTGACAGTGATTCCACCAAAAAGTGTTCAGCCTCAGTGGAGTCTGCCTGATGTCCCATACAGCTTTGCCACAAGGTACACAGATTTATTTAAAATTTCAGGGCATTCTGCTCTCACATTTTGAGTTATTACACTCAGGTGGCATTATGGCTAAACCCAAGATGTCTCGCAAGAATGTACACTACTGTTCAAAAGTTTGGGGTCAGTAATTTTTTTGTGTGTGGAAAAAAAATAAATAAAAAATAAACTTTTTTTCAGCAAGCATACATTAAATTGTTCAAAAATGATCATAAAGACTGGATAATATTACAAAAGATTTCTATTTAAAAAAAATGCTGTTATTTTGTACTTTCTATTTATCAAAGAATCCTGAAAAAAATATTACAGTTTCCACTAAAATATTAGGCAGAGCAAATCAGCATATTAGAATGATTTCTGAAAGATCATGTGACACTGAAAACTGGAGTAATAGCTGCTGAAAATTCAGCTTTGCCATCACAGGAATAAATTACATGTAGGCATATTAAAATATTTTAAAACAGAAAATAGTTAAATTGTAATAATATTTCACAATATTGTTTTTACAGTTTTTTTTTTTTTATCAAATAAATGCAGCCATGGTGAGCATAAGAGACGTCTTTCAAAAACTTTACAAAAACAAAATCTTACTGGTCCCGAACATTTGAATGGTAGCGTAAATCAGTGTGTGTGTGTGTCAAATGCAAATATGCAAAGCATAGCTAAAAACTAATGTGTTATTTTATTGCATTTTTAATTGCATGGTTTTAATTTGTAATACCTTTATGTTACTGCATTTGTCTTGTTTACAATACATGTTTGTTTGTCATGAAGCCAAACAACAATTTTCTAAACCGCTCCCTGTGATCAGGTCAGAGGTGGTTTCGATGAACAATAACCAAGCCTGTGACATCATTGGTCTAGTGACATATGTGGGTCGGGTTGAGCGAATTAGGAGCAAGGAAAAGACAGGTGTATAGCCTTTTATTAAACAGCTGGTTGTCAGTAATAGTGCTTGCTAATATAAGCTGCATTATTACTATTACTTAGGGTTGGGAATTGGTCAAAACACTGTTACATCTGCGTGTGTGTGTGTGTCAGGACCTGAGAAGTTCTGGGCATATCGTTGGGTACATGCAGTGGATGGGACAACTGACTCTCCCTTTATCCTGGAGATCTTCTCCTCATCCCAGCCAGAGATCTTCAACAACATCTGCCCAAGTAAACATCAGTCCATGTACACATTCGTTGTATTCCTCTTATGCTACATGACCTTATTTGATTCTCTCTCTTCCTCTGCAGTGACGTATCTGGTGTGCACTCAGATGAGAGTATGTCAGACGGGCTGTTCTGTGTATCTGACCAGTAGCACAGAAACACAGCTCTTCATCACAGGTAGATTTCAGACAGATCATTCAATCAGTCAGTGAGGTCATAGATAACCATAATCGGCTCAGCTTTATTTAGATGTTTGTGTGTGTGCTTTCACAGGCTGTCATAAAAAGCAACCCTATGTCAATGAGCCAAAAGTTAAAGCATTCATTCAGTGGACTAAGACACTGAAAGACAGTGTCATGCTGCGGAGGACTGCGGTTGGAGGACATTACTGCTACCCTCCTGGGCCACCCACCTTCACACCAACCACCAACAGCAACAGTAAGATTTAGCCTCCTTAAATTTAAACAGTATTGCGACTGAGATCATCACACACAGTCTTGAGTTTTTTTGATTTTCAATGTTCAGAAGACTCCAGAATTGTTCTAAGACTATATGTAATGTTAAATGGACAGTTCACCCAAACATTCTGTCATCATTTACTTACCCTCAAGTTGTTCTTAACCTGTATGAATTTCTTTCTTTAGTGGAACATAAAAGAAGATATTTTAAAGAAATTTGGTAACCACAGTTGGTAGCCATTGACTTCCATAGTATGAAAAAAATACTATGGAAGTCAATGGCTACCAGCAACTGTTTGGTTACCTACATTCTTCAAAATATCTTCTTTTGTAAAGACAAAAATTCATACAGGTTTGGAACAACATGAGGGTGAGTAAATCATGACAAAATTTGTGATTTTGGGTGAACTATGATTTAACTAAACACACTAACTCAGGGTTCCTCAAATCTGGTCCTGGAGGGCCACTGCCCTGCAGAGTTAACTTAAACCCTGATCAAACTCACTTACCTCTGATATTCCAGGGATCCTGAAGACCTTGATGAGCTTGCTCAGGTGTGTTTGATTAGGGCTGCAGCTAAACTCTGCTGGGTATCGGCCCTCCAGGGCAAGATTTGAGGAACCCTGCACTAAACACATGAATTCCTGTGTGTTGTAGATGAGCCAATTACAGCAGTGGCTGATCTGAAGGGGGAGCTGGAGAGTCTGCAGTACAGGGAGCACAGGAGAGTGGCTGTACAGGGTTACTTGGTTGCCGTGCAGTACCACACATGGCCAACACAACCTGAAACGCCACTCAGTGAACTACAGGTCTGTACAACTCAATCAAGTTGAAGCAGCCATCATAAGGATAGTATGTTATTTCCCTGTATATTTCTGAAAATGTGCTCACAAAAATAACAACGGTGTGATGTCATTACTGCAGGAGGGTGTGTCTGTACGAGGAGTCAGTGACACTGGAGCTGCCATTCCTCCCTCCACAATGGAGGAGATGACTCTGACACAGAGAGAAATGGATTCAACCTCACCTGATTCTGACATTACAGTCTCACCCAAACGCAGGAGAGTGCAGACAGGCTCAAGGTAAGGAAGGCATTCTTCACCAGTGGCCATTGGATTTGTGTATCAAATCCATGATGATATTGTTCATTATTATCTGCCTACCTCTAATATGCAGATTTGGTGCTCAAGAAAATGTTTTTTTTAATTTTATTATCAGTGTTGAAAACAGTTGATGCAACCATGATACTTTTTTTTTCAGGATTCTTTGATGAATAGAAAGGTAAAAGTTATTTGAAATGGGAATCTTTTAATTATAAATGACCTCAAAGTTTTGAAAAGCAGTTTAAATATTTAAGGAAAATTCTAAAGCCAAATCCAGTCAAAAGGG